GGCACTGCAGACATCAACAAAACTTGTGAGTTCTTACAAGGCATTTGTTTAATGCATGCCACATTGGATGATTTCATCCTAATTTTATTTTTTAATGTCTCTTTTCCTTGATAATGGAATAATGTGTACTTGCATAATGCAGCTTTAAATACTTGTCCTAATCATAAATGCCATATGAATGGTATTACCTGCTCTATACGGTGTTGTACTTGTCCTTGTCATGGATTATTTAGCCTCACCATCAGCCACCACTACTATCATCATCACTATTTATCCTACCAGTGACTGCCATAGACTACCACAGCCACTACCAGTCATTGCCACTGTCACCAATGTCTCTATCATAGTTGCTGCTGTCACTGCCACCACCATGGCTGTCATCAGTACCACCATGCTTACCAACTGTATTGTTGCTGTGGACGATGCTACCTCTAATATTTGTTAAGAAGTTGCTTCACCAAAAATTTAATTGATAAGAAAAATGCCTTTGAAGTTGACAGATCTTTTGTAATCAAACGCACAAGTATGCAAGCACTTACGTATATTGTTTTTCATTTTAAGAATCTATTTTTTGGTAGAGGAGATGTAATACCAAACACACCCTAGGTGTTTCTGATTTTAGCTAAACTGCAGGTTGTAAGTGATGATGGGAAGAAGGTTAGGCGCCAGCAACCTTTTACCAAATCAGACATGGAAGAGTTGCAGGTCAGGTTCGATCAGTTCTGTTTTGAGGTTCTTTTATCATTTTATGTGGTCTTAGTTTAATGACAATTCTCCTTGTCATCCTTCTAGTCCCGCATCGTTATGGCCGAAAATCTACCTGAGGATCATTGTTATCAGAATCTTATGAAGATTTTCTCATCTATTGGAAGGTAGATTATCTTATAATTTATGCTATATGAAGTTTGTAGTCTAAATCACTTGAAGATATTGTTCTGCAGTGTCAAGACAATTCGCACATGCTATCCACAACCATCCAATGGAGCAGCTGCTGTAACTAATAGACCAACAAAACTTGAAATGCACTTTGGTAACAGAGTATGTATTTCGTCCTATTTTTGGATTGTGTAATAAGCAAATAGTGTCTTAAAATGACCCTTCATATTATATTGCTTGGTTAGTTTGTATGAGTATAATGTTTTTAATATTCATCGCAAAATGCTATACATCTTTATCAGTTTCCTTTTTTTTCTGGATTTCTCTGGAAGGTTGTCGTGATAAGTAGCTCATTGTTCAACAACTAGAAACCCTTTTTAACTGTATTGTGTGTAATAAGCAAACAAGTATGGAGAAACATGTGTTTAAAACTTTACTGTTAAGTTAGAAAGGAAAATTGTGCTCCTGAACTGTGGTGCTTGAATAACCATTCATACTTGTTTGTAAGCTGCAAACAAATTGTTTGGTTGAATAGCGCAATATTTTTTTTGTACAGCACATGTTCATGTGGATGTGTTATAAAACATCCATTTAGTTATATTTTAAGATTTGATTTCATTTTTTTTTTTTGGTAGTTGCATGCATTTGTGGAGTATGAGACCGTCGAAGATGCTGAAAAAGCAGTAAGTATGATCAGTTCCATCTTTCATAGGTTTTCTACATTTTCTAAGCCACAATCCTATACATATATTGTTCTTTTGTCATGGAGGTTGCAGAACTCAACAATGAAAAGAATTGGAGAAGTGGACTCAGAGTTAGAGTGTTCCCTAAACTTTTGGTAAGCATCATGCATTTGCTTTTACTTTCTTCTCACACTATCTTGCATTTTCACTCATATGTCTTTGTTCATGAAACACATTTGCTTGGTCTACATTTTCAGAACTTAGCTATAAATTTGTGCATGTGTGATGCTTCATACCTGTTGGATATCTTTTGTGTGTGTGTATGTTGCATGCGTGTACAAAACTTAATTTAATTAAACTAGTGGTGATACAAGCTGAAAATGGCAGGAATCTTTGAGATAGGACTTTTAAAATGTGTATCTATGGTTGAACATTTTTGTAGACTCATTGAAGAGAACTTTGTAATTTTTACATACACAAGAAAAAATATGATTTTTTATTGTACTATGCAATTGAAATGCTGCTAATTCAGTCAGTATATGGTCATGAAGAGGATTGTATGACATTATAATTCTTATAGGTTTTTGCTAACTTTGCAAATGTATATTTATATTTATATGAAGATAATTTTCATAATTTTAATTCATTTTTTAACTAGTTTGTATAATTTTTAAGCTTGTATCTTCAGTCACTGGAGGTCAACAATTAAAATTTAGACTCAGCTTGACCAAACCTAGAAGGCTCACCTGGATGGACAATCTTGTGCTATTTGAATTTTCTGTTAATTTTTCCCATAAGCTAATACTCCTCTTTTGCATACAAAAGTCTTTATCATGTTATTACTGGTCGTCTCATTTTCCTGATCTTCAATCCAGACAAAACATGGGCAAGGTCGAGGAAGAAAAGTACATGAAGTTGAATTTACTGGAGAGGAGGATGTCTCCACATTAAATGAGAAGCAGGTTGAGGATGCCTATCACACGTCTGAAGTGTTGCACGAGCATGAGGTAAGAATGCTTGTTCCACATGTCACTCCCTGGCGAAGTTTTCTTCAGCAAAAAGGATTCAGTCAATTCATTGTCTATTAGTTATTTCTTGGTCTACCTGATGTATCCTCTCTTTTTTGTCAGAGGTATATCTCATCCTGTAGTAAACATAAGGCCAATTTTTTTAAAGTCAATATAGTCCAATGTCAGTTGTCCTAAGGTAGTTCAGATATGTTACCTTGAACAGAGTGTGGACAGTTTCAATGACAAGGATGGAACAGTAAGGCGAGGGAGAGGTCGTAGCCGAGGAGGAAGAGGACGAGGACGAGGCCAACATCTTAGCAATAACCGTGTTGGAGGCCATGCAGTTGGTACTCCACCGTCAAGCCATCATCTTATCCATTCCGAGCGTGAGCAACCTGTTGGAGCCAACAAACAACCTCCTGGTCCTCGCATGCCAGATGGTACAAGGGGTTTCACCATGGGTCGAGGAAAACCAGTCGTCCCAACAGGTACAATCTAAAAATCTTTCATGAGTATGGTTGTTCTTCATGTTTGTTTGTTGTCGATGTGTATAATAATAGTATGTCTTTGTTAGACAAATCTGCTGCTTTTTGGTGTAATTATTGATTCTGGATGTCGGTGTGTCCAGTATATTAGGGTGTTTTAAACCTTGTTTTGGGGCTCACTTCCAGGCCACTGTTTCCTCTTACTACTGCCAAAGAAAGAAATGTTGATACCAGTGTTTGGAACACATTACTATATTAAAAGTTTCTTGTTCTTGGTATATGCTAGTAAATCTGTAAGGCAAAGAACTGGGCACTTTTTTTCTTATTAAAATAGGCCCCCCTGTTGATCAGGTATTAGACCTCAACTCTTCAACTCTCTCACTCTGATCAACTTCATTGCAAAATTGTTGATGATCTTATCAAGATATGGTGGCCATCATCTCAACCCCTTGGTTCTTGTTATAAGCAGTCTATTGTATTGATGGGAATTATCTCTAGTATTTTGTCCCAAGTTGCAAAGAGAAGCCACACAAAACAATATGGTTTTAGAAAACCAAAAACCATATACATCTAAAAATAGCAGCCGTCCAAATCCCCTCGACACGTCCACGTCCACATCCACATCCACTTCCAGAGTCATTGCCTACCTTTGGCTCCATCCCATCATCATGCCTATCCGAATTGTTCTCAAGAATTAGTTTGGTGTCTTTCTTTAAATAAAAATAAGAAAAAAATTATTTACTAAAAAGAGAGTCCAAAATATGACCTATCAATCAAAATAGATGTTAAATCTGAAGAAAAATTTTCTTCCAAAAACAGATAGATTGTGTCATCCTGCCTTTATTAGCAGCCCAATGTTGGTGGGTGCTTTATTAAGTTTCTTAAAACAGTGAAAGCAATCAAAAAGTTTGCAACTTCAGGATAAAAATATGAATGCTTGTCGATTGGGAGGTTTTGCTTTCCATCATGTATTGTGTGAACAATAAAAAACTCTATCTCAAGATAATTATATACTTTGGTGTCTTTCTATCACGATCAAAAGGTGGTCTAATCATAACTGATGGACGGGCCTTGTGGACGACCTCGTGAAAGAAGAATAGACACGGATGGCTCGTCGGTTATAGCGTAGCTCCCATGAAGAGGAACCCACCACCGATTGGATCAAGTGCAAGTCAATGTTGACGGTTTTGGATCATGTAGTTGGATACAACCCATTGCATCATTCAATTTACACATTCGGCCTTAAATTCTCATTTAATTTACACCTCTCAATTATTGGTAATTGTCGAACCATGATGATTGCTTCTTTGTCCTCCATGCCTTGCCGACCTCTCTCGCATTTGAATTGGTGGGCAAGCAACATGTGGGGGATGAACCAAAGTGGATCTCGGTTGTCTCCCTAAAATAATTGAGGCAGGTGAGTTGGTAGGCTCGTATAACAAATGTTCTTGGGCAGTCCATTATGGGCACTACCTGTATCTAATATTCATGTTGTTGATGTATCTGAGCTTTTAGGATCCAATTTCCATTTCGACTTGTATCGTAGAATTGGACATTATCCTAACTCAGCTAGATCGATCCATCCATCGAGTGGACCGGGACCCAAATCCTTGGTACATTCGATTCGATTACTGGATCGGAGATAGATTGGACCGGTTCAAACCATCGTCGTACAGAAGACACATGGACCAGGTGGGGATCCTTTCCAATCATTGTACACATTCCAGCCGCCGTTCACGATGGCTAAAGTCAGTGATCGGCAGAGTCCTCCTACTTCCAACGGCTGATATGCTGGGATTGTAATATTTTAGTCAGAAGCCACTTTGGTGAGAATCCGATCACATTCGCATCTTTTTTCTGGCCGACGGCTATCGCTCGCGTTGAAAGCACGAATATAAAAATGACTCCCTTCTCGGCCCCGCAAGAAGAGGCTTTAAATACTTCTCCAAATCCCCCCCCTTCTCTCTATCCCTTCAGCTCCTGCCGATAAAAGATCCTCCATCTCCGCCATGACCTCCATTCCACTGCCGGAATCTCGGGCCCTTCTGGGTCCTGTTCCATAGCTCCAGTTCCAGCTCCCAGTCTTCAGTATCGACCCGCGTTTTGTTGGAATTAGGATCTTTTTCTGGCTTTAAAGATTCGATCTTGCTTCAGTCTGCGAATCAAAGATTGCGTCTTGACTGGATCTGGAGCTCTGATACTTGCGGAGATGGACGTGGTGGCGGCGCTGAAGCGGGGGGTGTCGCGGCAGTTCTCCCTCGGGTCGCTGTCGAAGAGCAGGTTCAGCTTCGGGCGCCACGCCTCGCTCGACCCGAGGCTGGCCAACGCGAGACGGTTCGCCTTTGGGCGGCAGTCGTCGCTCGACCCCAACCGGCGGAGCCCCGTGAAGGGGGAGCTGGTGGGGGTGCCGGAGAATCTCGACGCCACCATGCAGCTCCTCTTCATGGCGTGCCAAGGGGACGCCAATGGGGTGGAGGACCTCCTCAAGGATGGGGTGGACGTGAACAGCATCGACCTCGACGGCCGGACAGCCTTGCACATCGCCGCCTGCGAAGGGCACGTGGATGTGGTCAGGCTGTTGCTCAGCATCGGGGCCAACATCGACGCTAGAGATCGTTGGGGAAGCACGGTATGTTGTCAAACAATTTCCTTGTTCGACAGTTGCTTCAAAGTGGAAATGGATGTGTGCGCGCTAAGAATTCATCAACGTTCTATGTTCATCCTTGATGATAGCTGGAAATCATGTAATGCATACTAGTATATCCAACTTTCGATTTGAATCTCAGTTTGTTTATCGGATTGCAGGCGGCTGCAGATGCTAAGCACTATGGTAATGCCGAAGTCTATGATCTATTGAAAGCTAGAGGAGCCAAAACACCGGTAGGATGTATTTAAAATACAAGATGAAAAAAGAGAAATTTTTGCTTCTCCTTCAAAAGGAAAACATACTTTTCTTACCAAAATTATTATTCTCTAAATGCTGGCGTGCACTAACAGAAGACTAGAAAGACCCCAATGGCAGTTTCTAATCCCCAAGATGTTCCTGAGTATGAGCTGAACCCAACAGAGCTTTACTTCCGGCAGGGTGATGAGCTTTCAAAGGCATGTTCTTTGCACCTCAGACTTATTGTGATATGTTTCAGCTTTAATTGCTTATAAGTTGTATCAAGAATCATGTCTCACTTTCTCTGGAAGAGAATGACAAGATTTGGACTTTGGGAAAATTGTCTTTAAGCATTTGGCAAGCACAGAGATAACCATATCTGCTGATATTTTGGAAAGATCATCTTTTACAAGCACTGTTCTTTTATTGTGTTTTCAAATACTTTATTACCATGTCTTCTGATCAAAAAATTACCCAAGCTGTTCGTGAGCAGTTTGAGTTTGATAGAAATTAAGTTGGCAGCTTTCCTGCAGATTAAAAACGGCAAAGCTTGAGCTAGGGCTACCTAATGCTAGGCTCATTAGTATCCATCAGAGAGATGTCTGGAAACTAGTGCACAAACATCTCTAACAGTGATTATTGTGATGAGGATCAGGAAAATTCTGCATGCCTAAGATCCAGTCTGAGGTTTAAATGTTAGAGTTTTATTTTTATGGTCATAAATTATTGCATTTTTGGGTAGCACTGACCTGCAAATGATGAGCTGATGCTAGCCATCTTAGCACATCACCAGGCCAATAATCAGTCCCTACTGATTAGTACAGATGGTGTGTACCAATTGTTGATAATGGTACTGTCTTGCTCCATGCCTGTTGTATCCTTGACTGTTATGCTATGTTCATTATAATTTGTGATATATAAGGTGCTCTGGAGTTTAACTTGAAGTCTTTTGATTGTACGATATGTTGCAACTAGTATGGTTGAATTGGATGGATATCCATATCCTTTTGCCTTGCCTTGGTTTATTTTGTCAGTAATTCCAGTGTTGCTGTAAGAGCTGTTTCATGTAATTATTCCTGTAAAGTTTTCTTGTGGTCTACTTTGAAATATTTAGTTTCTTAATTATGTTGATCATGATCATTTGCCATTGTTGGTATTGATAGGACATTCGTCAAGTAGCTAAATGGAATGGAATAAAAGTCTCCGTGAAGATGCTTGAGCAGGATGCCTACTCAGATCCAGACACCATGTACTTGTTTATTCTTTCCACGATATAAACATTTGCTGCATTAGATACTTTCATGTTCAATTTTTTTTGCTAAATCATGTCTACTTGAGCTTATTTGAGCTATGAAGATAGGCAAACTTCCTATTTGAAACCTTACCAGTTATCAATTAATTGTTTTTATCTAGAGGACTATGTACTCTCAGATGCCTATATTGTTATTGATAAGAAAATCCTGAATCCTGATATATGCAAACTTGCATATCATTTCACTCCAAGTCTCTAACCCTTGCCTAACTTTGCTTTGACTAAGGCATTAGGCACTTTGATGGAAAAGATATTAATGGTGACATGCAAAATAATATCATCCTAACATGTCTAATCGCCCTTTGTCCTTAATAATTGGTCGATTGTATCAGATAGTAGAATGAGACAACAAATAGTATCTAAAATGGATTCCATAAGCTCCATATAAAATGTGGCTGATAGCTACTGATCAAAACCTAATAGAGCGTAAACTGGATAGGACTTTCCTATAGTGCTTGTATTCTCTAGAATGTATTTAAATTAACAGAAAGGAGCCACACCCTAACATGGAAATGTTCAGGTCCTGAAACTGATCTTCCTATTTGGATGAAAGGACTGCTCTGCTAACATCAATAAACTTTTGAAAGACCATTCTGTAGAAATCTTACTTGCTCCAAACTTCCAATCACATATTAAGAAGTTATGTTAGAAGCTGAAATGACATTAATTCAGCTCACTGAAAGCAATTGTTTCAACAATATAATATTTCCCCTGTAGTTGGATATTAAGTTTAACTAATCATGACACAAAAATTTGACCCTAGTAAATTAAGCACAATCCGGCTAATGGGAAATTACCTTTCTTTGGTTTACTAAAACTTTGTGTTTGTTAGAATATAGTTTTGAGTTGTATCTTGATGCTTTGTTAATCATGTGATTGGGTTAAATCGGCACATCATCAGCACTTTATATAGAATACTGACTTATGAGCAAGCTATTCCCTCATCTTGTTCCTCCTACACATTGCTAGAGTCATTGATTTACTTTATATTTCTTTTACATGTACAGAAATGCTTTCAAGAATGAGCTGACTCTGATGCAGAAGGTTCGACATCCTAATGTGGTTCAGTTTGTTGGAGCCGTTACTCAGAATATACCCATGATGATTGTCTATGAGTACCTTCCAAAAGTAAGTTGCTGGTAATGCTTACTATGGTTTTCGCTGTGAAGAAATTATTTTATCTAATTATTGCACTGATAGTTTTGTCCATGAATTAGAATCTTAGTCTTATACTGATACTGGGTGATGGCAAGATTACTGTGGCACCAGTACTGATTGGTGTACCAAGTGCCACTGTTAGTCGGTACCAGTCAAGATCACCTAGTACCCCAGAGAGAGAGAGAGAGAGAGAGAGAGAGCAGGAGGAGGAGGAAGAGGAGGTGACATATCAGCAGGAGGATGGCAATGTGGATGAGGAAGAGGAGATTGTGATGCGTACCTGTGGGAGGAGGCTATGACAACACATATGAAGAGGTAGAGGAGATGGAGGGAAGAGGGAGAGAGCTGTTGTAAAAAATGAGAGATTCAGAGAAGAAGAAAATTAAAATAAAATAAAATAAAGAAAGAAGAGACAATTGTTGACAGTTGCCAGAATAAAAGAACTGATACTAGAACCGGGAAGTAAGCTTACTGCTTGGTATAGCTCATTATCAGTCTGTTCACTGTCAAAAAGATTGGTACAGTGAGTTTCCTGAGAAGCAAGTTTTTGTTTTGGACAGAAATGTGAGAAATTGCCCGGTTGGCGGCCATTGGACCCATAAAAACCAGTCCATACTGACAATGTCATAATCCACATTTGAATCTATGATCTTATCAAACCATAATCTGCTCAAAATTTATTAGTCATTCTCCATTTTTTGTAAACAATCTATAGCCTTTTTATCTGTGTTCCAACTTCTTAAGATGCCTATCCTTCATAAGAGTGGTTTAGTGATATGGTATTCAAGATCATGGCTGTGACCTGTCAATTGTTCTGCTGCTTTCTAAACTCAGGGTGACTTAGGAAGTTATCTTAAAAAGAAGGGACGTCTAAAGTTGCATAAAGCTCTTCGATTTGCCCTTGACATTGCCAGGCATGTATCAAGCTACTATTGTTTGAATTGCATTTGCTAATAATTTATCCTATCAGCTTAACTAATTTCCTTGAAAACTCTTCTGCTGAGATCTGCTAGGAATCATCTTTATTTTTTTAACCTATTCTGGACATGAATATGAAGGAATTGAAATGTTGTAGATACTAAATTTGCTTACTTCTTGTGCTTTTTTATTTGTCATTATTTATGGAGAAATATAAGAATAAGATTTTATATTTTTTGTTACTTTTTAGTTTAAGCACTAGATATTTTTATTTATAGTATTATCTGAGTTGTGAATGTGCATTTAACACTTCAACCTTTTCTTCCTTATTCTTTCATGGGATAAGCTTTATTTTTTGGTGAAAATTTATGCATACTCTTCTTTTTCTTGCTTGTCAGTGTAACCAGAGAACCTATTCCTCATAGGCATAGAATTCCAAAGGCCATACTGAAGGCCCGTCTTTGTAGATGCATATTGTTCTTTGAAGATTTATAGCCAGATTTCTCCATGGCATAACATATAATATATTGATTTTAGCTTTTTCAGCTGCCACTCCAGCTTGACCAAAGATACATATTGATGATAACTGTTAGTGGCCTAATGTAACTTTTCCACTTTTCCATCCGGACATCGGATTGGTACTGATGGGTTAAATCTAATTACAATTTGACTCAGCTAAATTTTGACTGAACCTGGACCTCAACATTTGTGCGTCAAGATTTTGCTTGCTCATTCTGTATTTGATTCTTATTTATGCAGACAAAATTTTCAAAATCACCTGACTAAATCTGATTGTGTTTTCTTGTGCTACTCATTATGCATTTTCTCCTGTTCACAGCTTTTCTTTCCTTTAAATGAATCCTGTTTACAGTTTGTGTTCCACAGATATACACCAATATACTGATCATGTGGAGTAATAATATCATGTGCATTGATGGCATTAGCAAATTTCCATAATGTAAATTTACATAGATAACCTTAGTTTTTTGGTTAAATGGAACTTTGTTAACCAAGTATTGGTTTGCTCTATGATTCAGGGGCTTGAATTATCTTCATGAGTGCAAACCAGACCCAATAGTCCATTGTGATTTAAGGACAAAGTAAGATGATCCAATATCTGTACTTGATAACATATCAGTCATATTCAAAGCTGCAGACATAAATATTTGGTTATCTACTATATGATTAATATTTTTAGTAAGGTGCCAGAAATATTTTTATAGATGATGGTGGTCAATTGAAGGTGGCAGGCTTTGGCTTGACTAAGATATCGAAATTATCTCCAGACAGATACAAGTTAGCCCATCCCATGGCTCATATTGACAGTAAGTTGTACTATGCTGTATACTAAATTTGAACCTACTCTTGGCCCACACACGAGGGATGCACACAATTTGGTTTGGTTTTAAGAGAATTTTATGTTGAATTTAATTTCTTCCTTTTACAAGCTTTAAACTGTACTGGACTACAAGTGAAAATAGAACTGAGATTACATGAATAACATTATGTTATTAAAAACACTTTGTTACCTGAAATATTTTATATATATAAGAATTAGATTTATCATTTTTATATTGTTTATATAATTAAATTCAAATATGATTAAACAATATCGTATATAACATTTAACGAAGCCAAACTGATCACGGCAAAAAATTCAAAACAAATGGAACTTTTGCAGGTTCATCTGCTTCACTAGAGTATTGTAAAATTTTATAGTCCTTCTTCCAGGCATTATAATGCCATGTTGAATTCCTACCCCTAACATCATCCATTAGCTCATATTTTATGTAACAAGTCCATGTACATAAATTTTGATGGTTTTTATACCACTTGTAGGTTTATACATTGCACCAGAGTTGTACAAGAATGAAATATTTGATAGAAGTGTTGATGCATTCTCCTTCAGTCTCATTCTTTATGAGGTTTGTCGATTCAAATTTTCTTTTGTTTGTTTAAGTTCCAGCATTTCATTATCTTCCACAGAGTTTTATTTCAGTTGAAACTGAAATTCTGAAACCACAACCAATATGCAAGTTTCAAGTGTCCACTCAGAAGTTAATTAAAAGGAACTTGCATAATATACTTTGCTTGAGTAAAATAAGTCTATTTAGCTATCCAGAATGTTTTTTCTTTTCTTTTGTATGACAGTCTCAGATATAAATGATGATGAATAAAGTTAGTGAATCTGTTTTTCTTGGTCCCTACTTTTTAACACCATCTCATGGATTATAAGGATTTACTGGAAAACTCAGTCTCGCCTATTTAATTAATACTTTTATTCATTTAATTGGTTAAGGTCTTCAGGTGAAGAATCCTTTTGGTTTTGACTACTTAGCCAAGTCCATTTGACACGTAGCTATTTTATGATTTGATGTTACTATTTATTTAAATATGTCAAAGATGCTGTTCTGGGAGGATTTTATTTTTTTGGCCTGAACAAATTTTACTTGTCTGTATGTCACCTAAAAATGCAGTCTCTTGGAAATATTAAGTAAAATAATTTTAATTCCACCTCAATTATAACATCAGATAAGCATTTTGGTTAAGAATATCAGACCTGAGAGTTGAGATTTTGTTATCTTTTTTATTTACTTAAATATAGAAGCAAATGCTGATTATGTTATAAAATGTCACACTTGCTTCTCTTGCTCAAAAGTTGACATTCAAGCTTATATGGTGGCTATGCTAGAGAAGAGGAAGCAGTATAGAAGTGTAAAATTGATGTTTAGTAAATTAAGCAGATCATTCTATTGCTTCATCTTTCATATGCTCTAGTGTCAGTTGACTTTGTTAATCTTATTTTTGTGTTGGATAGCTTACACAACGAGAATGATGTTTGCTCTTAGTTTTTTCTATGCAATGATCAATTGTCCCCTTCTGAAAGTTCAGATGATTGAAGGAGTTCCAGCTTTTCACCCCAAGGCTCCCGGAGATGTTGCTCAAATGATTTGCTTGGAAGGAATCAGACCAATATTAAAGACCAAGTCGAAGGCTTATGCTCCTGATCTGAATGAGTATGTCTTTCTTCACAAGTCAAAGAGATTTCAGGTGTACCTGTTCAAAGTTATACATATTTTTAATAGTAAAGCTATTAAAGGTAAATTTCCTATAAAAGGACATGAGCACACTCATAACAAGTTGATATAAAACTTAGTAAACAGAGGTCTTTAACTTACTACTTTCCTAAGGTCTCTTTGGAAACCATGTAGATCTGCTTATTATATGATACACTAATCATCTCGATTTCATTTCTCCTTTATTCCATGTATACTCTTAAGTAGCTGTCCTCTATTTATTTGTCCTGAAATGTTACTTGCTAAGTGAAATAATCATAACCGTAACTAGATCTGCCTGTCTAATTCTATAATTTGATTTGTGTTGTTCTGGCTAGAAACTTTTGGTGTAAGTATACTAATTTTCTTATAATAATTATGGAATCAGTCAAATCTAGTAAATGTACTGAAATATTTATTAACAGCTTTTCTTCTAGGGCTGCATGAGTTGTATATGTAATTTATTCATGCAAGAAATTTTGTGCAACTAGTGATAAGTTCTGAACAACTACTTGTGTTAACTGTTCACAGTAGATGGTTAGCTACTGGTAATATATAATTACAGTAGGTAAGCAGACTTCCCAATATACACGGAGCCCTTTTATGTAGGTTAATTAATTTATAAATCTTGTTAATCTAACCAAATTTCTCTGTTTTGGCTAATAGATTGGCTTATTTTCAGTGCCTTCTGACACTCCCAAGATCTGGACAAACAAATTTCACAAATACTTGAAAATCACAGTGGATGATTAACTTTCCCTTTGTACTGCCATATAGAAGTGAATAAAAAATATAATATGGTCATTTTTGCAGGTTAATTGAAGAATGCTGGAATCCACAACCTGTAGTGCGACCAACTTTCTCAGAAATAATTCTGCGGCTGGACAAGATGTATGCAAATTGTTCAAGGCCAAGCCGATGGAAAGAAAATTTTAAGCTTCCCTGGTACATTTGATTTTTATGATAATTTTTGCATTGCTTGATTACTTGTAGGTTGTGAATCCAAATGTTTGAGCATAGTATGGCACTTGAAATGTTGCTTCTCATGTGAAATTTGTGGGAGTATGCATCTAGTTTTTGGGTCCTTATGGTTTTCACTACCGAGTTTGCACTTTCACTCTGTACTTAGTATGATCAAAAAGTTTATATGTCCTTTTTAAATAAAATCCAATATAATAGAGTTGCATTTAGGTTAATTTTCTTTAACCATACTTCTTCTCATTTTGCAGGAAATAACGAGGAGGCATTCGCCGGCTTGCATTATGTTCCATCATGTTGTAACACTAGTATGCAATATTTATCAATGTATAACATTCGCTAATAAACATTAGTTTTCCCGATAAAGATTTGCTATTGTATGTCACTACAAACTCTGACCAAATAATACTTGGAATATATTTTTTTTGTTTTGAATATTTTATATTTTTCTTCTTTCCATTTGGCTTTATTTAGCTTTGGCACATAGCATTTGAGCCGAAAAGATTGTAAATTGTAGTATGCATATGGCTATGTTTACTTGTAAGAATTCATAATGTTTTAATTTTTTGGGATTTACTACATAGATTTATTATCGTTGAGTTCTTCCTAAAGTAGTATCGAATTAATAGAATTTAAATTTAAATTTATAATTTATAATAAATTTCTTTTAATTTTTTCTTTATATTTCTTCGTGCCATTAGCATTAGATGTCTTATCACTTCTAACTATAATATTCATATGTTTTTAATCACAAGTTTGTACAATATCAATAATTCTCTCTTATTTTACCATCTATTAATATATTTTTAAATTTTCTAACAATAATGTCCATCTCAACATTCTATCTCTTAAGATCCATAGTGATAATATAAAGCTTCGAATGCTACTTTGATTATATTTTATGAATAATATTTTCATCAATTTTTTATTTTGTATACATAAAACTTTTACAAATAACTTTATTTTTAGAAAATTTAACTATCTCTAATAAAACATATAGCTACGTTTACATCGACTGAATAACAATCATGCTATATAAATCAAGACATTTGTTTGTGGTTTTAAAGCAAATGCTCATGCTAATTGATAATTGATGATCGGTTGTATGATTATGTTATATAATTAAGTTTAGAAGAGATTAGAGCATGAAATATCAAATATCATTAGATTTTAGCCCATATGATTTTGGTTATGGACCTCCTAAGTCCTTATGATTTACTCATATCTAAAATAACTCTTATATTTAAAAAAGCATAATATATAAGTTCCTCTCGTAAGTTTGAGTTAATATATGTTAGAGTTTACTTACGTGGTATGCTAACTTACAATAAGTCATTAATATAATAATATATATAATTTAAAATTTAAAAAAATTGATAATATATGGATTTGAAAACGTGGACAAGTTGCCTAATCAATTTCCTTCAAAATGAGCCTTTTCATGATCTAGCGAGCGACACACTGGTCTTGCCTTGACATATGTTGTAGAGGGAGGAGCCTCTTAGCACTTACAACAATCGAGAAGGTCACAATGGAGAGTCAGTCTCTCGGGCCTAAAGAGGAAACCACGAACCGTATTGTGCACTTCAACATCTAGAGCTTTTCACTTGTTATGCTTATGGCTCATGTCCAGCACTGTCACCATATTAATAGGGGCACGGAGAGGGGCAAATGATCCTATTGGTGGCTCTTTTACCTTGAGAGCTACTACATAGCTTCGGTGCCTTTGCTCTTCTAAGAGCAGGGCCATCTACAACATCATGCTCATAAGAATGCCACCAGCCTTAGACGTCGGTGTCGGTCGACGAAGGACTCCTCCGTCAGTGCAGCTAGCAGATTGAGCGTGAGGGGCCATAAGGAGCCCATAAAACTCATCCTCTTATTCCACGTCCTTCATCTCCTCATTGGCACCGTAAGCTTCCTCATCCTTATCCTCATTAGCTGCTTTTGGTATAGGATCAAACCGCACGCCCCCTCTTTGGTTGGGCTTCGATATAAGCAGTAGTAGCTCATCGTTGTCATAGACCTTAGTAGCAATAGCAACGGCAGTGGCGATAGCCACTCTATTCTCCCCATGTTGTCATTCCTCGCCTTTGCTAGCGTTCCGATTGTCGTCATTGGTAGTTTTCCTATTCGAGTTCTAATTCTCCATCTCTCCTATCGCCCCTTACTCGACAGCAGGTGCATTGTCTTCTCGGTGGCAAAGTACGAAGAGGAAAGGTGCATAGCACCAAGAGGCAAAGCAGATGGGGCAAGCTAGGTTGACGTAGCTCTTGACGTGGGAGGCAATACAAGGAAAATAGAATGCGTGGGAGCACTCGACTATAAAGACTAGCATCTCCCGACTCACATTCATAAGGTTAATTAGGTTACAATGTTTTCAAATATATATATCATTTTTTAAGCTTAAATTACATATATCATTATATTAATAATTTATTATGAGACAACATGTCATGTAAGCAGACTCTAGCGTCTATTAATTCAAACTTGACGGGAAAGACTTATATGCTATGTTTTTAAAATATAATGATTATTTTAGATACGAGTAAACCATAAAAACTTAAGAGGCCTATGATCAAAATTATAAGAACTAAAATAAACCTTAACCCTAATCTTTATTAAAAACTATATTGAATGTTTAGGTCTTTTATAAGTAGCTGGGAGGATAGGCTCGCTTAGTTAACCAAAAAAATTAAATTAAATTCGAAAAGAGGAAGAAATTATTGGAATGAAGAAGATGATTTGGTTGAAGGAAGACACTTTGATAGGTCCTAAGATTTTCGTTGAACGTGCAAAAGAAATGCAATGCATCAGATCGAACCGATAGACATTATCCTCTCCTCATATTCCTAAAGGAGTAAGCATCCTTCGTTTGTTGCAGAGAGGGGGGTTTGCACCAGATGGAGAGAAGGCCTGTAGGATGATTTAGTAGCTTTCTCCCACAACTTGGAGGGGACAAGCAGTCATGGCTCTTGAGACTGAGGATGGTACAGAGATTCCATGATCACCAGGAGTGGGGGTGCTGTGCAAAAGAGATGCTGCCATGGCTCAGAGCCTTGCACCTGTGTCTTCAGATAATCTATACTACAGACAAATTGCCAGTTCCTGTGGTTGCTGCCATGGCTTCAGACATTGTTCTGCTTTAGCCTTGTCACACACAGCTCACCAGTGAATTAGATTGAAAATAAATCATTGTCTTGCCAAACTTCTGTTTCTATTTGACACAGTAACTATTACATTGAAATGGGAATTCAGAACAACCCTTCTCTGACAAGCTTGCTATTAGAACATTATCTGATTCCTGATCCCTCAAGTAAAGCTCAGCCTCCCAAAGTAAGGATAAAGAACCAAGTCCTCTTAAAACACTACGCTGGCTTTTTGGTTACAGAAATCTAATAAATCAGGAGGAAAAGGAGCATTATCAAGCAACCCTTAAAGCTAAATTCTTTTCTGGATATGGCACAATCTTGTTTTCAACTACCTCACATGCCAACCTTTGTTCCTCTTGAAAGTAAAGCTTCAAGTGAACTCCAGCTTCCACTACTAGCATTTACACATTAGCAACTATAAAATATCTTAAGTAATTTCTACAAACACAAAGGAACAAATAAGCAGTCTTTCGATACACAACTGGCTGCCTTCTAATTATAACCAAAACCTAACCTGGGCAAGGCGGCTACAAAAACCATTAAATTTTAATCCTTCATTTCACTAAGATGACAATGAACTATCATCATCTGAACTCCCGGACCTTGATGCTTGGAAACTCGGGAAGACTGGTTCTGATGTTTGGTTCGCGGTGACTGGGAAATGGCGTTCCATGATTGTGATGTTATGCTCGTTAATCTTTTCGACTTCTCTGCAAACCTGGTCAAGAGTTGCAAGAAAATCTCTGATCACCATGAAGACTCTAAATGGATGAGACTCCTCCTTGGTTGAATCCCCCTGGAAGTATTCAGTTATCTCCTTCACCATAGATAGCGTGGAGCTCTCTCGGGCTTGGATATCTAGAATTTCATCCTCAGCCTTTCTCATGAACTCAATCATAGCATCATGGAAATGGTGACCATTCTCATTTGAAAATGAATTGTTTAATTGCAGCACCTCCTGGATCTTCCCTAGTCCTCCACCAAGTTTGGCAACATAGAAGCTAAGCATATCCGAGTCCATTGCAGCTGCCTTCTTGACATTGCTAAGCTCAACACTCAGACTGGACACAACTTGGATGCCAAGTTTACAGTACTCAAGATCTGTTACCGTATTTGACTGGTGGTTAATGCTTGAAAAATTGGCAGAGGAGAGGCGAGATCCTTCAGCTCGACTGATTTCCCGGACAACAAAATGTAAAAGAGTGGTCTTGCCATCTGTTCCTTTGACGTCGACTAGCTTAAGGAGGGCATCAAGCTTGAAGGCATGTGCCTCACCACGGTTGGTACCAACATTCATCCGATTCCCAGTCTTCAAAACTGCCTCTAGAAGCTTGCTGAACATCCTGCTGCTCCTCAGCTCTTCACAGGCAATCTGAGACATAAACAAAATTGAAGGGGTAAGCATGTTTTTTGCTCATTTCCGAAAAGCAGTATTTGAGCACTTTGTTTGCGGGCAACTAATTTGTTAGCTGCCCATAGCTTGGGTTTAAATATTTAAATCATTGAAAAAAGGAAAACTTTCCATGAGTTAATCAGGCAACTGTTCATGATTGCTAATTAGTTGAAACAAAAATAAAATCTCATCTTTATGGAAAATCATATAATAGAGAAGCATTCTTATCTAAGGTATATAAGGTACATGGCATAAGCAATAATGAACAAAGGTCCATTATGATCGAAATGGAATTCTGTCTAATATCTAGAAAGCTATCATCCAAACCATTGCTTGCAATTACATGGACATAAAACAGGTCTTCTGAAGGACTCCATGCATCAACCATAAAACAGAATGTGAAAGCAATCGACCATGACTTTTGCTAGGTGGCAAAAACAAAACTTATCAAATGGTCTCCAAAAGAATGCAATCGACACAGCTTTCAGAGTTGGCATATTTATATATAGCCACTAATGTTGAACTAATTTAGATGCAAAGTTGACATAGTATATAACATTTTACTGTAATTTTGTACATTTACTCTAATAATGGGATTAAGATAACAAGATTAAGATGACAATAAAGAAACCTGGCTTTGTGCTTTCAGAAGTTAAATCATCTTCACAGTTTCACATGAATCTCAATTCTTGAATATTAAATAAATATTTACAAAATAATTTGTGTAATGAAAAAATAATCAACACTTACTATCTCATTCTATAGATTTGCTTAAGAAATAACAGAATGGTTTTTCATTTATGCAGTTTCTCTCTGCTGAAACTTGAAAATGAATAACGCAAATAAGTTTACCTCAAGAGTCCTAAAGAGATTTCTTAGATGATTGACCTCTGGATAGAAATTAGCAATATAAAGCATGGCATCAACTCTCTTAAATGCAAAAGGTATATCAAGCACAGCCTTCAAGAAGGATTCAGCTGGACCAAGCTTGAATGGTGAATCATTTTTATATTCCTTCAATTTAAGCTCTTCCTCTCTGCTTGGTACCATTTTTGTAAGTGCCTCCAAAATTTCATTTCCCAAGCTGTCAACTTTCCCTTTATGACAGACATATACCATAAAACTGTGTTAGTGAAACAACAATAAAGGAAAACAAATTTGGGAAAGCTCCATAGAGATTGATGAAATAAAGATGAAAAACAACTGCAGTTTTTCAATAGATAGAATGCCATTGAAATAAATGAAGCTTGAAAATATCTAAAACACATAATCAGGCCGTGGTAAAAGTAAATGGAGAATGAGCTAATAATTCTAATCACATATTCACCTCAACATTTAGCAAAGAAAAATAAACATCAAGCAACCAGTAAACATTTAGCACAGACAAATTGTTTTAAGAAACTCATCATTGATTTCATAAGACTAAGAATTGATGAAACACACAGATATCAATAAGGTAAACCATTCTTATAAAACATATCAAAATGGGTGGAAGGTATACCTTCCAAGAGAGCTTCACAGACATCCTCTTTATTCACATTTAGGGCCTTCAGCAGAATTGCAATGTTCTGGGACTTCTTGGGTTCGAGGATCCTGCTCTCTTGGTTCATTGGAGGATTTATCTGACCCCCAGACATCTCCTTTGTCGTCATGCCAGTGTTACTAAGGAACAATGTCTCAATCATCTCTTCGTTCAATCTGCCAATCAATCAACACAAACGGATAAGAGACACAGCATTGAACGCAAAGAAAAGATCTTTTAGATTCAAGCAGAAAGTCTCACTGGAATGAGCCTGACTTCAGCTGATCCCACACCATCGCCTGGTCAGAGCTTGCTCGAACTTTATCCCAGTGCAATGGCTTCAATTTCGGGCGAGGATTCTCCTCGTGCTTCTCGGCCGCATTGGAATTCTCTGGCGCCACCGATGAACTCCACGCTACTGGGATTCGAGGATGTACAAGAACTGGCGGCTGGAAAGCCGGCATCTTCACATTCTGACCCTCCCGACGTTCATCTGGTGCCGGTGGTGGCAGTGGTGGTGGTGGCGGCACTGGATTGTGTCCAACCGCAACTGAGTTTCTAGCGAAGTCGCCTATTTTTCTCGGTGACTGCAGGTTCTGACCAGAATATTGCAAAGTTGCCGACTTTCTGTCACAGTCGGCTTCCGGTGGTGAAGATGGTGAGGAATGCGACATTGGTCTTCTCTTCGGAGGCGATGGTGTGGGCGGCCGCAGCAGAGGTGGAGGCCTAAGTGGCGGCGGTGATGAAGTGGTGGGCGACGACTGGGTGGGCGAAGAAGCCACATTAGAAGAGATGCATGAGGGCGTGCTCAGTGTCGAGCTCCGAGACCCGCACCTTTCCATCTTCGAACCTAAAGCTGGCTTCTTTGAGCTCGACGCAGGGCCAGCGGCGCTGCTGCCCTTCCCGCCAGGGGAGTTCTTCGGTGAGTAGAACTCCTCCGACGACGAGCGGCCACCTTCGGTGGTCTGGAACTGGCGAGGTAGCGGCGGGAGCGGGCGGAGCTCCGGTGACCCGAGCTTCCGGTACGGCGAGCCACCTCCGGCGGCAGGCTGCGCGGCGGAGCTCTCGTTCGCGCGGCCGCGGGAGTTGACGAGAGTGCCCAGGTACAGGAACTCCGAGCCAGCGGTCCCAGCGGGGGCGGGGGCCGCCGAAGAAGTGGCGGACAGCTTCCGCCCATCAGAGGCGGTAGTGTCGGGCGGGAAGAAGCGGAGGCTGTCGGACCTGGCGTCCTTATCGGCGCCCCCGCGACGGCGGCGTCTGCGGATATGGACGAAGAGAGCTAATGAAAGGGCGAGAAGGGCGAGAGCAAGGAGGGGGGAAACGACGGCGGGGACGAGCCTGGGGGGAGAGTGGCGGGAGGGGGAGGATACAAGGGAAGAGATGTTGGCGGGGAAGGTGGGGAGGGTGGCAACGGGAGAAGGGGGAGGAGGCGGCGGCGGAGAGGGGTATAACGGGAAGAAGGGACGAAAGCTGTGTGAGGTGGCGGAGGAGGAAGGGTACTTTGGCAAGGAAGGGGAAGGGGGTTGGGCTGGAGGGAGGGAAGAGGAGGTCAGGGGAAAGAAGGGTTGATGGAGAGTTCTCCTGTTGTGGATTGCAATACTAGTGGTAGTAGCAGTACTCGTGGTAGTGGTGATGGTCGTCATGTAGTAAAGGAAGTGAAGTGAAGCGTCGCTGAGGAGGAGGAAGAAGGCAAACATGGACATTGTTCTGCAGCTGAGACACGGAGAGAAGGGAAGAGAGAGAGAGAGAAGGGAGCCGGGTTAGGGAAACAGACACAGGGGAAGGGAGGGAGGGAGAGAGAGAGAGTAGCAAACTCTTTTCTTGGAATTGGTGATGGTGCAACTCGTTTTCAAGGTTTGAACAAGCTTGGATTGTTGCTCGATGTGGGAACTTGTGAGAGACATGCAACGCCTACAGTGAGGCTCACTCGGGCCAAGAGATGTGTAATTAGACAAAGTATGGAACCAGTTGGCTCCCCAACAAAGACAGAAGGCACGTTGAGAAGAAAAAAGCGGAGTGAAGAGAGAGAGAGAGAGAGAGAGAGCAGGGTTGAGTCATTGCTGCTAGCAGTGCCTACTGCTCGTGAGTGAGCTAGCTGGTGTGTGACAGAGCAGACGGCATTTATTGTGGGAAGCCTCCTTTTGAACTCACCAAGGAGATCAGATTTGAAAAGGATGGGGATGGGGATGGGACCTCTCCCCGCAACAGGCAATGCCACTGTCATGTTTCAGAGAGATGGAAAGAGAGAGAGAGGGAGGGGTTACTGTTCCCAGGCATATTTCTCTGCGTCTCCAGGAGAGGAGAGGAACAGTGATGCAGATGCATAGCTTGCTCTGCCGAGCAAGTGAACATCTACTCGTCGGGTGCCAAAAAGAGATTTGTGATGATGGAGTGGCCCGTGGAGTGCATCAATTATGAACTCAAAGAGTATGAATTGGAGAATGATTGCCAATAAGACTCCAAGGGAATCTTGTTCTTCCCTTTTATTCTCTACTTGCCATTGGCAGCATTCCCAGGTTGGGTCACCACAAAATTTGGCTCCCTAGGAGGACATGATCACATGAAATATGTAGCTCACAAATAAAAAGTACACTTCTTGTTGTGTTCCACTCCATCCCTCCTGCATTTTTACTGGTAACAAAAGTATTACTCTTGGTAAAAAACAATCGGAAAGCTGTTCATATTCTCTCAGAGGATGAAGGTTTTTCCCTTGCTAAGCTTCTATTCTGTACACCCTCATCTAGCCGGATCACATTCCCGTTAGTCATTATGATGGCATCGAATACTTTTTTGATGGATCTCACACTGAAATATAAGAACACGGTGGTTTTCTGATGCCATCTTCGTCGATTACATTGAAGAAGAAGAAGAAGAAGACGAAAGACTGGTGCTGCTGAGGAAAATTCCATCAGTGACAGCTCTTTTGAGGCTTTCTTCGTCATTCTTATTATTACTCTTAACATTTCACAGGTTGGTTGGGTGTTCTAAGTTTGTGAGAGGAACACAGGAACAGAGCATACTTTATTCTGCCGAAAGAGACATACCACAAAGGATCCGATGTAGAGGAAAAAGCTGCGGCCGCCAATAGCACTACGGTTTCTTGGGCGGGTCAAAGGACTGTGCCGTTCTTCTTTTAGGTTTGCAAGTGGATAGCCCTTTCCAAGGTCGTGTTCCAAAAGAAGAGAGATAAATAATATAGTAATACATAAAGGAGATAATAATACAAAATATCTATCAAAGGAATAAAT